ATTATCATATCTCTACAATTTGAAAAGTAAATTTATTTTTGAGTTGTTATTAATTTTTTTTAAGATAACAATTAATATGTTAGTAGTTAGATTATAATATAGGTCAGCATCTCTTCATAGGTTCGAATCTAAAATCTTACTCAACTTAGCACCTAAGTATCGCCTTCATAAGCACTTCAGAAACGGTCCAAGCTTCAATAATTATTAATTTCAAAACACATTTATATTTAATAATTTATTATCAATATGGTAATGTTTGTATACACATGATATATCACATCATGATATTTTTGAATTCTTTATACTAAAAAATAACTCATGTTTATTTTTATTTTTATAGAAATAAGCTCTTTTTATGAAAAATATTATGCATAACATGGACAATTTATTCAATTTTTTGTTTTTTTAAAATACAAAAATACATGTGTCATTTGCAATGAAAATTTTTATGTATAGTACAAATTCATTTTATTATAATGTTATTTCTACTAGGTCTCATTTAGGAAGTTAACTATTTTAGTTGGCTTTCTGACTTTTTTGCTATTTTAGCGCGGCTAAAAAAATTGTGTTTGAAAAAATAGTAGGCTTTTTTTTGTAGTTGATTTGATAGTTGTGAGAGAAAAAATGAAATAATTATGGATTGAATTTGACATTTTGTCTTATTACTTATTTTATCCTTTTTTGTTTTTATCGGCTATTTTAGCCCAAATAACCCTTCCCAAATGGGCCCTAAGGATTATCATGATATTATTGAATCCTTGTGCAACTCCATCCAACCTAAATTAAAATTTTGAGGCTAATATTTTAAAAAATAAAATAAAATTTACAGATAATATATTTTTTGTCAACTAGTTTAGAAGTAATCAAGTAAAACAAATATAACATAGATTTAATTTTGTAAATTAGGGAAATAGAATTGAGTTAAAATTAAATTTTTCATCTATAGATATTTTATTTTTTCATCAAGTAGAGATTATTTTCATTAAATTTATTTTGTAAAGAAAACTTTTAATTTTTTCATACACTCGATACTTTTAACTAAGGATAATTTTTTTGACATGACGTGTTCACATAGCACGAATCGAACACAGACTGAAAATGACATGACACAATAATATGAAATAACAAATCGGTTGAATGTGTTAGTGTTGACTTAATTTTGACAAAAACTCAAAATAACATGACACAATTACGACCTAACACTACACAACACCCACCTTAGTTACAACTTATTTAGCTGACAATAAATCATAAAAAAAAATTAAAAAAAATCCATCCATGTTTGGCAAATGCTAAAAAATCACATTTTTTGAAATTTTATTTTTAGTGAATCTTTAATTATTAGAATTTTTTTTAAAAAATATTTATATATATTTTCAAGTGCTTCTAATCCAGAAAGATTTAAATTTTTGATAAAAAAAACCTGTATATAAATCAAAGAAAAACTAAAATCAACAAAGAAAAAATGAACACCTCTTTGTGAAAATTTAACTTGACTTGAAAACATGTAAATAAATTCATTTTGAAAACATGTTGTTCATTATTTCTAATGTCAGCATGAATTATTTTACCAATATAAAACAAATTACAATATTAAAATGTTAGTAATTTCCTAATAGGACTTATTTCTAATCCCAACTAGGTTAACACCGAGAGAGAGAGAGAGAGAGAGAGAGAGAGAGAAAAGTAAATGAAGCCTTACTTGCATATTGACTTTAGATAGATTGGTAAAATTAAAAAGAAGGAAATATATCATCCTATGACATTTGACTATCTTAATTTCACACATGATTTGACTAGTAAATTCATTATTGAGGCCTGAAACATGAATCCAACAATCAATGGTAGAGCCTTTGAGGCATAAATGCAGGGCCGGCCCTGCCCTAAGGCAGGTAAGGCTTGTGCCTTAGGCCCCAAATTTTGGCCCAAAAATAGGGCCCCCAAATTTAAAAAATTGTTATAGGCCCAACTTTTTTTTTTTTATGGTTTTAAGATCAATTTAAAGGGCCCCAAATGTTTTATTGGGCCCATGTATAATTTAGCCCATATTTATTTATAAATGTATTTGGCCCATGTTTATTAAAATGAAAATATATAAATAAATAAAAAAAAAAAAACAAAAATTGAAAATTTGTTTGGGCCCAACCCAAACCATACATACAAATACAATATACAATTCATGTCTAGTGCACTGCTAGTGTGGTGAGTGCCTCTGTTTTCATTAAGTGATGAAATGAAATGAAATGAAAGACTTTCAACTTGAAGGCAGCAGACGCAGAGCATAGCGTAGCACATTGTGAGCAACTCACTCTCCCTCTTTCACACACCCTCCTCCGGCGAATCACTCTCTCTCCCTCTTTCACACACTCCTCCTCCTGGATTGCATATAGAATATTATTGACTATTCCAGTTACCGTTGCCTCTGGAGAAAGAAGTTTTTCAAAGTTAAAATTGATCAAATCCTACCTTTGATCAACAATGTCACAAGAAAGATTGAATGGATTAGCTATATTGAAAAGGATTTGGTAGATAAATTAGATTATACAAACTTAATTAGTGATTTTGCAGCTAAAAATGCAAGAAGAGTAGTATTTAAGTGATCGTTGGGTTAATTGTAAGCTGGATATTGCTAAACTATAAAGCAACAAAAACAGTTTTTAATGTTTTTGAGTCATTGTACTGATTTCTTCCTATCTTAATATATGAAACTAAATTTTAGTTTATAATTTTAATGATTATATGTTCAAGTATACTTAAATAAAAAATTTGTGGATACTTATCATTTTATGCATAAATTTTTTATTAAAAAAAAATATATTAGAGGGGCCCCATTTTCATAGTGCGCCTTAGGCCCCACAAATCTCAGAGCCGGCCCTGTCGGTACCTAACCTCATTCGATCTGTTCTTCTGATGACGCATTTTCACTCTAAAACTTCTCGCAAGCCATTCTTCTTTCCTTCGAATGATGCAACTTCCTATCACCAAACCAAATACTACTCCACTTCCATATCCCATCAACACTGCTTCCCAACCAAAGCCATCAAATTTGAACTTAAAATTGTGACTAAATGAGGATGGTAAAGTTGGTGATTCTATTATATGGACATTCCCACAATTCTTTGACAATGGAAACCCGCACAAGCCTAGATTTCCCTCATATGAAGTGTTTGAAAATGTTTCAAACTGCTGGCCTCGTGGAATAATCCCAGTTAGATTATTTTGCGAGACATCAAAAACTTCAAGGAATGTCAAGCTTGTTAGTTGTTGAGGTATCTCACCAGAGAGGTTGTTTTGGGATAGATCTAAGGACTCAAGCTCAGTTAGATGCGACAAGGACAATGGAATCGGACCTGTGAAACCATTTCTTGAAAAATTTAGGACACAAAGGGCTTTGAGTCTTCCAATAGATATGGGAATCTTTCCATCAAACTTGTTGTGCGAGAAATCAATAGCTTTGAAGATGGTGATGACCCTTACGAGTTCCATTTCCTGTCCTTTACTCATTATGGTTATCGAATAATAATTACCATAACCATCACCCATATAATTTAAGGAGGATTTGTCTTCATCATCCATCATCATTGAATGCATGCTCTCAAAGTATTTTGATGGCAAAGTACCTGTAAAGTCATTGTGAGATATGTCAATGATATGTAAATTGGTGAAGGCTAATCTCTTCCTTGGTTGCTCTATGGGACCGTGAAATTTATTATCTCGCAAGACAATAACCTTCAATTGGGGCAGATTCCCCAACCAAAATGGAAAAGCATCTTCTATGAAATTATGACCCAGATTCAAAATTTCTAGGTTCGTGCAATTCGCCAATGATTTTGGAAGCACCCCTTGCAATCCATTGTGGCTAATGTCAAGTTCCTGTAACATGCTTGCATATCCAAATGTTTGAGGGATACCATGGAAATTGTTTCTTTTCAAATTTAACGAGGTTAAATTTCCATTGAAGTTCCCCAAACAGGTAGGAATTAATCCGGCCAATTTGTTATTGGACAGATCGAGATATACAAGGGAATGAAGATTGCAGAGTGGATTGAGTTCTTCATTTAGGTAGTTGTTTGAAAGGTCTAGCGTCTGCAAATATTCCATTTGGGTTTTTAGAAATTCAGGAATTTTACTTATGTTGCAAGACGACAATTGTAATATCCAAATTTTTTGGAAGGAGAAGGGAGTGGAGTTGGTGGTGGTCAATGATAGACCACTGTTTGAAAGATCCAAAGAAATCAAATATTCAAGCTTTGCAAATGTGTCCAGCTCAACAGTGTCACTTAAATTATTTGACGAAAGATCAAGACTGAAAAGGTTCACGAGATGAAACAAGGAAGGAGGTATTGTCCCATTGATTGAGTTACTGCCTAAATATAGATACATTAGATTTGGAAGGCCAGTTATTGATGATGGAATGGGACCTGTTAGTTGATTGTTTGAGAAATCTATAAAAAAAAGTTGCGAGAAGTTGGGAAAAAGTTGAGGAATTGGGCCTTCAAAATTGTTGTATGAAAGATCAAGCAGAGTTAATCGCGTGAGGTTTGTAAGCCATCTCGGAATCGTACCAGAGAAATTGCAGTCACCGAGGTGTAGCCGCTCCAAGTTTTTAAGATGGCCAATTGAAGATGGGAATTGACCATTGATCAATTTATTCCCTCGAAGTGCAAGCCAAATTAATCGCGTGAGGTTTCCAAGCGATGTCGGAATGGTACCGAAGAGATTACAGTCACTGAGGTGTAGCTCCTCCAAGTACACAAGTTGCCCGATGGAATTAGGTAGCTCTCCGGTCAAATCTATTTCAGAGAGATCCAACGACCCAAGGTGCCTAAGGTGCCGGAGAGTTCCATTAATAAAACTTGCAAGTTTACCTGTGAGTTCTCTGTTACCTTGTATTGGGCCAGAAAGATAGGAGACAGAGAGGTCAAGATGGGTCAAATTTGTGAAACGGCCAAATGAAGGTAAAATTTGAGAGTGATTGAAGTTGTTGTAAGAAAGGTCGAGGTGTTGAAGGTGAACAAGATTGAAGAGGCTGCTGTTTGGATGGATGGTACCATATAGGCAGTTACAAAAGAGGTCGAGCCCAACGACATGAGAAGTGGTGTTATCACATGTGACCCCATCCCATGCACAACAATCTGTACCCTCTTTCCAATTATCAGTATTATGTGAACCAGAAGCTCTGTAGCAATCAACAGAAACAGAGCAATTGAAGGAAAAGAGTTGCTTAAATTGGAGCAAAGCAGTGCTCTCGTCATTATGGCAAAGATGTGAAGACGAAGACGAGCAGAAAATTAGGGAATACAGGAGGATACATATTGTGAGTTGATAATTGGATAGTAAGAAACCCATTCTTACACCAGTATTGGGTGGTAGAGAGGGAATTGGATATGATGCTTCTTCTATATGCACTCTCCTATTTATAACTGAATAAATAATTCAATAATCAAAAAATATAAACTGAAAATTGTCATTGTATAGTCTCACATATTACCATTGTATCAGTTTAATGGATTCCATCACTTGGTCAATTTTATTAATAATATAAAGATAAAATATAAGATGATAAATTACTTTTAGTAAATAAATGTAATTCAGCTTGTTTGGTTTGTGAATTCTGAATTCACTTTTTAGAAAATTAAAATTTTTTATTTTTCATATTTTTTTGTTTTCACTGAATTCTTTTTATATTT